TGATCGAAGAAGGCCAAAAAATTTAAGAAGGTATAAATACAAATATTCTTAGGCCAAATCAGATTATAAAAAAATTGCAAAAATCCAGCAGTCTTTCAAAAAATTTAGTAATTCCTGGAAAACGGTCAGGTACGGAACTTAAGGTGGTGTATACGCTGTTAAGCGCCAGGGGCTTATTTATCGACGACAAATTAATCAGTAGTCATTAGTAGGCATATTCTGTTTAGTATGCATCCATCTAAATTGTTCAGACTCATTTTGGTGCCAATTTGGAATGAAAATCAGATGTCAATGGTGCATACAACTTCCAAATATTTCATTTATAATTTTGAAATAGATTCTTATCATATAATGACTGAAGCAACTTTAAATTAAATCCAGAAATGGCATTTAAATAAGAGAATATGCAAAGGAAAATGGCCCTGGAATTCTGCGAATGATAATGCATATGAGATTCAGCCTCTAAAGCCAAACAAAGCGGCGAATTGTATTTACAAAACAGTAGTCGACTCTAAAAGTTACTGGGTATTGTAAATTCCAAAGTAAAAATAAATTCCAAAGTCGGACTGTAGTGTGCCGGCTCTCAAATTGAGTGGTTTGATTTTCCTCAGCACGATGTTTTAAGCATTGCACCATATTGTACGGCAAGAACGGACGATAAAATTTTAGTTGCCCACCATAATATTCAATCCGAAAGCGAAGAAGCTCTATCAACACCTTATATAGGAAAGGTTAGTGAAGTTTCGAACGATTGAATAATGAAATTAAATCATTACAAATTGAAAAATCTAGATTTCCATTGAATTTTCAGTATAGGTTTTTGGCCGTTCTAAAACAATTCAAATTAACTTAGGAAAAAACCAATTCATATATTTTGAATAAGAGACGAATCAGACTTTTGCAAAAATCTTATGCAATTGAAGATATGTATTGAATTCAAGTATGGGTGAGCAACAGAGTGGGCACAGGCATATTTTTAGCACATACGCTTCTTCTTTTATTTCTTTCTAAGCTGGCATTCGGCCCAGATTTTATCCACTCAATTTTCCGTTTTGTCATTTTCTAGGCCACATTTTCCAGAATATCACTTTTCTTCATTTTTTTAATTAATTCGTTATCTTATAACCAACCTGAATATCGTATTTGGTTGTCAAATTTTGCTCTTCAAAATTCTTGCAGCTAAGGTCCTCGAAAAAAATCACTTTCCTTGAGAAACCTGAAATGCTGTAGAAAAATCGCCGAAATTCCTGGGACAACAAATTTGTTTTTTTATTCTTTAAACAAAAAAAGGAAAAAAAAAAAACCAAACAAAAAATTTCTGACCGAGACTCAGAAGCCGCGATAAAACAAAAACACTCGAATAGATACAAATCACTCAATTACTTTCTCACTTGATTTTGCTAGACCCACAGAAAAAAAAAATATTTCCGGACTTTTTTGCCAATAATTCAGACTTCCCGCTGCTCTGCGCACTCGACGACGTTCACACTTATCTTATTGCGTACTTTTACATTTGTTTAATTTTTCTTAAATGCTGTTGCCAATTTAGGCAACTTGATTATGACGATCGACCTATAACGGCGGTTGCGCGGCTACTGCGGCGCTCAACAAAAGACTCAAGCATCGACGAAATATTGTCGCATTCGGAACTTCCGTACCGCAGCAGCTACAGTTCTACCGCTAAATTAAATTGCTACCACAATTTAGCAAAGTAGTTAAATCTTGATCTTTACATCAACCACCGAGCCTAATAAGAGATATTCTCTACATAATAACCATAATAACAGATAAAATTCCTCACATAAACTCACCAAATAGGGATCTGCGCGGATTGGCTATTCTTCAATCAACAAGTGTTGTTATTGCGAACTCGGCTATAAAAATCTATTTTTAGGCATCGCCCACGCGGTGTCCGATATTTAGTGATAAGCAAACTCAGACAACAGAGAAAAACTTGCATATTACTTCTCTTCCCTTAGGGCAAGAGTTTATCTCTCGTGATTAATGAATGATGTATGAACAGTGGTGATTAACCCATTTTTCGTAATTGAAAAATTTGAATAATCAATAATGGACAGGAAAACATCATCTAGCTCAGGGTCTTTGGTAAGGTGCTGCTGAAAGAATGAAAAAAGTTGCTGGTAAAACACCAGCTGAAATACGCGCTACAATCGCAAGGGACATAGCCTTAAATCTAAAAATGTTGCCTATTGAATCAAATAATTCAAATGCAGTTACGACTAGCTCTGCCACCTTTGTTACTAGCACAGTCACAACGTCCATCGCTAATACTACTACAACAAATACAGTACGATACCAAACAGGTACTAGTGTTTGTTCTCCACTAGAGTCGTCTCTAGATACTCCTAGTATACCAACTTCTCCTAAAGGTTGTTTGTTTCACTTGAAAACAGAAAACAAGCTAATACAGGCAAAGCGTCAAAAACAATAAAGAAATCAAAAATAAAACCAATCAATGTCATTAATAGTTTAACTAAAACGCCACCCTAAGCAGCAATCGTTTGGCTGCCTTTGCGGAAGAGGCTGAGGAAGTTCTGCCAATGGACATAGCTAAAGATGATGACATTCCTACTGCTCACGTACGCATCAAGGTCAGATTCTGCATTCAAGGGTTTCTGTGAACCCAAAATTAAAAGCAGTGATAAATTGGAAAAAGCACCCAATACAGTTAGACTTTGACATAATTATAATATCGGCACCTCTAAAACGGGTATCGCATATATACAAAGGAAGCAATGTCGTTCAGAACGGTAGTTAGAACACTCTCTGATTTGAATTGCGAGTTTTGGCACCACCAATTGAAGGCGGACAAGCCATTTAGGTTCTTAAAAATATTCACTCCACCGTTCCAAAAGAGTTAATTGAACGTGCATTCTCTAATAAGTGATTTTGTGTTCTCAATACTTACTGTCCGAGGAGATCTGACTGAGATCTTAATTGAGAAATTCCAATTGAGGATGGATCTGAGGAGCAAGCCGTCAATGTTTTATGTTAATCTTAGGCAAGCACCAAATGTGTCTGATGCATTAAAAACATCTTATGTGGAAAGGCACAGGGTTACTGTAGAGCGTGTCATTCGTAGAAAGGATCTGGTGTAATGCTTTAATTGCCAAGACTTTGGGATTACCCGAATTTACTGTCTTAAAAGACCGGTCTGTGGAAAGTCGTGTTGTTAATTTCGCACTGGAGGCCATGGAAGAAAGAACATACTCTGTAGCGGTTTTCATGGATATACAGCAAGCCTTCGACAGGGCGTGGCACAAAGGTCTACAATGTAAGCTAAAGCCTTTGCTTACCCCGCAACTACATCAGGTAATAACCAGCTTTCTAGAGGATAGGTCCTTCTGCGTAACTGTAAATAATCTTCGAAATCTTCGAAAAGGCCAATTTGTGCAGGAGTCCCCCAAGGCAGCGTCCTTGGGCACTGCTGATATGCCAGATCCGGGATCAGCACAAACCGTGGACCTGATGACGTTCTCATTGCAACATACGCCGATGATACCGCAGTTCTAGTTAGAAGCCCCTCCCTGGTCATTGCCGCAGAAGCCTTACAGAAATATGTTTGTTCCTCCGAAAAATGGGCGCAGGATAAGATAATTGGCATAAACAGTAGCAAATGCGCAACTGCCACGTTTTTGACCAGACCGGGAAGCTGCAGTAATATTATATAACGCTTCTTGGGTCCGTGCTTGAGCATAAGTCGCATTAGAAATATCTTGGTGTCATCCTGGACAGGAAATTAAACTTTGGCCGGCATGCTACATTGGTGAAGCATACTTTATTGTCAAAAGCTGCGTGGCTCATGTCTCCTTAAAAAACAAGGTGGCAATATACAAAACAATCCTTAGCCCGATTTGGAGATATGTCCTTCAAGTTTATGGACAATCGCACATAAAGAAAACCCGTATAACTCAGATTTAAATAGTGAGAACAATGTGCAATGCTCCGTAGTACATGCGTACTAGGGACATAGAAAGAGATTTGACAATAGAGAAAGTTGGGGACGTCATCCAAAATATAGCTCAGAAATACGAAGACAGGCTGACCCGTCATCCAAATGTTCTCGCTAGACGGCAAAGTGGAAGAAGCAGATTTAAAAGACTCCACCAACAGGATCTATCATCTAGAATCTTGTCGTGAAGAATTGTTAACATAAGTTGTCAATAAATATTGAAATATATAAATATATAAAAGCCGTTTACGTTATGTCCAATACAATAGTATTAATCATTCACTTTCCTCAATATATAATTATTTAGGCTGCCTGAAGGTAGCAGTACAATAATTTAATTCTACACGTATCCAAATCTTTTAACAAAATAAAGGAAAATAAAAAGGAATTTAGCTGTAGCTTAGGTTTCAAAGCCCTATTTTTCCTTCCTACATCCCAGATTGCATTTAGACACTTACCCCTTGATTTCTTTTATCACTTGGGGTGTTGGCTTGACTGCACTCTATGACGTCTGGATGTGAAAAGGCAGATCGAGACGAAACACCAGTGGCGATAGCCCCAAGAGGAACCCGTGGGAATCGTCAGATAAGGTTGACAGGAAGATGCCCCTTCCCTTATGCAACCTTTTCCGCGCAGAACTCATTCCTAGATGGCGGCCCGAGACCTACGACATTTGGTCAACTACAAGAGCTACAAGATATAGCATTCTCTCTTGTTTTATTTAATAATTTTATAGGACTATTCCCTTACATTTTTACAAGAACAAGTCATTTAACTTTAACTTTATTTTGCAGGTATTTTCACGGTATATATTTTATATATGGATGACTTAATCATACCCAACATATATTTGCTCATTTAGTACCTCAAGGAACTCCTGCAATTCTTATGCCTTTTATAGTTTGTATTGAAACTATCAGAAACATTATCCGACCTGGAACTTTAGCTGTTCGATTAACAGCTAATATAATTGCTGGTCATTTATTATTAACTTTATTATTAAATTGCTTTATTAGTGATAAGCTAAGATTCAATCTTATGTATTTGCTGTTTTAAGAACTTTATACTCTAGAGAAGTAAATTAATGTCTACACATTCAAATCACCCTTTCCATTTAGTTGATTATAGTCCATGATATTTACCAGGGCTATTGAGCAGTACCAGAGCAATGACAACGGTAACAGGTTGAGCGTAACAGGTGATTTCATCAATTATTTTATGCTATTATTATTTTTATGGTTTATCAATGAAGACGAGAAGTATCACGAGGCGGAACATATTAAGCAACGATTGCATACATACGCAACTATTGGTTAAAGTTAAGGAATAATTTTATTTTATCAGAAGTTTTATTGTGCTATATTTTTTTTTTTTTTGAGCATTTTTTCATAGAAGCCTATCTCCAGCAATTGAATTAGGAGCTTCATGACCTCCTATGGGAATTATTTCATTTAATCCATTTCAAATTCCATTACTAAATACATTTAAATTATTGGCTTCATATGTTACTGTAACTTGGGCTCATTATAGATTAATTGAAAATATTCATTCACATGCTACTCACAACTTATCCTTATCACAACAATCCTGATCAAGAATATGTCGGAGATTAAGTAGGTCTAACGTATTATTTTTAAATGTAACCGAAACTATGTTAATAATATGTTATCTTAAGATTAAAGAGCGAGTTAATGAATTAGCTTAGTTTAAAAGTATTGAGAGGGCATCATTTGTAAGTGCACTGAAATGTGTATGGCGCCTGGTGTTGTTTGCTAGTGTTTCATGGTGGCAAAAAGATGATGAAATAATTGAGTGAAGTTGAGAAATATACAAAATGCATTATTGCATTATTGGAAGCTTAAAACAATAATTTTATGGAGTTAATTAGGTCCATGCAGACTTCCAAAGTGAAGACGCATCCCCGCATTTAATCCTGAAAAATGCAGTTGTAGCTGTGTGCTGCAAAACTGTCGAGATATTTATGTCAGAAATATGTTGGAAGGAAGCTGAATGGCACTGAACAACTCATTAGAAGGAGGAGCATCCTTCCTGGCCAAAATTCCGGCAATCACTTACGCAACGATACGATAGTGTAGAGACGCTGTCAGCCATTTTGTTAAACATGTACTATATAACTATGCCCCAAGAGTGAATGAGTCTGTGTATGCCAGCAGACAAGAAACGATATTACTCTCCAAATGGGATAAAATGAATGAAGAAGATTGCGGTATCGATCGTGCAGGCACATGCGGCTCAAATAGACCACCGACTACAGCCTCTGATATTTACAACAAACATCCAGACACGAAGCGAAATGGAACAACTACTGCGTGCCTATGCTTTTGGTAAGCGCAATGATCAGAAGCCACCACACGGTCCAGAATGCCAGAAGCAGAAGTTTTCATCGGCGTGAAGTGTCACTTTTGTGGCAAACAGGGCTAAAAGATCGCAGAGCGCAGAACCAAAATGGCTGAAGAGACGAAGGTAGTCATTAGAAACCCTACACATAATTACTCTACGCCAAAGAGGGACATGTCAGCTCAAAGAAGCTGGGTTCAGTAAAATCGAATTTTTGAAATTGGAAATCTGGATTCGTTTGGCCATATTTGCCCACAAATTAGATTTTTTTTTGCCCACATCCAGTTTTGAAGATATGATATTACGAAAATTTTCGAAAATCTAAAAGTTGATTTTTTTTTAAATCGCAATTAATTTGTTTGCCCACGTTTGCTCACAATTTAGAATTTTGAAAGAACTTTTAGTTTATTTATAAGCCCTTAGGGAATTATTATTATTTTTTTTTAATCAATATTAATTACTATACATAAACAAAAATTTATAATTTAACTAATAACTTATAATTTTAACTAATTTAAAGTGCGGAGTAACTAGCTACTGTGACCATCGACTCGACTACTTAATAGATAAGTTATGTTAGATAAGGTGAATAGATTTACATTTGTTTAAGAAATATATTATAACGTGAGGGTTGTTTGATGGGGTTGTTTGCTAATAGATTTGATGACGGCGTAAGACCGAAGAGGGTTGTTCTAAGGTTATAATGTTGTCGGCTAACTCATTTCCATTAATTCCTATATGAGCTGGGACCCATAATAGCTTAATTTTGCAACTGCTTTTTATGATCAGGTGACGAATTTCGCATAAAAGGTTGTTGTTGTTGTAGAGGTTTTGGACTCCTTCCAGGGTGGACAGACTATCACTGCAGATAATATGTCTTCCCTTGACTTCGAGGGCAAATTTAATTCCCTTCATGATCGCTACGGCATCAGCGGTAAAACCCGAGAAGTGGTGGGGTAGCTGACCCCATGAAGCAATTGATCCGCATTCATCTTTGAGCCGTCTGTGTACAGCCATTTACGGTCAGCGTAGCTTATTCAAATAGCTGTTTAAACACTGTAGTAGGAGTCCCAGATTTTTGAAAATCGTGAAGTGTAGTGTCGATGGCCGTGGAACGTAATTTCCAAGGGGGCGACGGGATGACTTTATTTCAACTATAGGATGTTTCAATGTTGTAACTCTTCATAAATTGTATGCATCTACGTATCGGATATTGGATTTTGAATTTCCGACGATGTTTCAAGGCAATTTGAAAGTCTTTGTGAAGGATAGAGTTCGTTGAGCACACGAGTTTTGGTATTAGTTTGAAGGTTGTTTGAGCGATTTTCTTTAAATTAGATGGAGCGCACCACCCTTATATAAGGAGGCCGTAATCAATATGGGACAGCAACAAAGCTCTTGTTGCTTGAATAAGTGTTGTGGGGTGGATGAGTGAACGCTTAGTTGTTAAGAATTTAATAATGTTAAGTCTATTTTTGAGATTTATCCTAAGTTCATTACAATGTTGTTTAAATGTGAATCTCTTATTATGCCGAGGATTTTAGAAAGGAACGCGTTCTATATCTATGTTATTAAAAGCTAATTGTGGGTATGTACAGCGTTGTTTATTACTGATATGGAAAACATTTGCCAGTATGGTAACATGATTTTTGGTTGATGCATAATGGAGTGGAGCTGTAAAAGCGAATCAAGAGTGCTATGCTGATGTTTGGTGGGGGCTGATAAGTTTATGTATAGAAATAAACCACATAAGACTTTAGGCTAAAATTTTTTCAAGTGTTTTGCTTAAACAAGGAAGTAGGGAAATAGGTCTAAAAGATGTAATTTCGTGTGTTGGCTATTTAGGTTTTAGAATTGGTATAATAATTGCGGATTTCCACACATGGGGGTAGGAGCCCCGAGCGAGCATTGTGTTATACATTTCTAATTGGCGGTGTTTAGCTTCGGAAGGTAGCTGCTTAAGCATTGGATAGAAAATACGGTCAAAAGTGGGTGTTTTCCCTTTCGCATACTGAAGGGCATATTCAAGCTCACTAATGGTGAAGTTGCAGTCGAGGTCTACAGCTGCAGTGGACAGTTTAGTGGGATTGTATTCCTGAGACAGGAATTTTTCTTTAAGGGTCTTGTATTGGTGGAAGAAATTGTCGTCCTTAGAATAGTCCAAACAAAAGTTCCCCAAAAGCATCGCCAATGTCTACAGAGTGATGTAGCTCTACATTTGTATACTTCATAGTTCTGAGGGAATTCGAGGAGTTAGGTCGATTTAGGTCGGCCCAAGTCTTCTTTGTAGATGCTTGGGGGCATATGTTCCTTGTGAATTTTTCGAAGGATTCCCTTCTAGCTAATTTTGATCTGTACTTGAATAGGGCAAAGGGATTGCTTTTGTTGCCTAAGATCTTGGAGCGTTTGGCTCCACCAAGCAACGCTTCTCGGACGTAGAGATGGTTTAGTTTGCGGAATTGCTACATTGGCTGCCGCTTTAATACCTTTTATTATTTTGGCGGCGAACAGATTTAAGTCGCTGGTTGTAGGAAAATTGAAGCTACCTATACAAAGGGTGCGGTACAGATCCCAATCGGCTTTATCCATCTTAAATTTTGGTGGTGGGGTTAGGGTTTTACTATTTTTTCGCGAATAGATAGATATCTGTAATTATGAGATAGTGATCACTCCCATACAGGGAGTCTTTTACGGACCACGTACAGAAAGGAAGCAGTGATGCGGAGGCAAATGTAAGATCAATAGACGTGAAAGAGTTGTGAGTGGAATGGTGGGTGACGGAGCCGTCAGGACAGTTAAGATTGAATTGTTTATGACTTTTTCAATTTGATGCCCTTTAGAGTTATATGGGGGGAACCCCACATTGGACTCCAGGCATTGAAATCACCAACATATACGATTGGTTTGATAGTGAGATCCACTATATTAAGAATTTCGCTGGCAGCTACGAATTGGGATGGAGGTATGTATGTATTAAAAATACAGGTATTGGGTAGAGCTAGGATTTCAATACCTAAAGAGCATGTACTACCATTTATTGTTATAGGTCTGTGTGGAATGTCTTTACGGACGTGTATGCTGACACCTTGCTTGGCATTAGAAATAATGTTATAGCAATATCTAGTAAATGGGGAAGCTATATTCGTTAGGGAAGCATTAAGATGAGTTTCCAGCAGACAAATAACATCCGGGTTGGTATCGTTAATCAAGAGTTGTAGCTCGTGGTAATGAATCGCTCATAGATTCGTCGGAAGGTTCATTGTTCGGTTTTTGGGTATTTAAAATATTTTTATGCAAAGTTGATTTATTTTGAATAGAAGATGTTGATGGGCTGTTTGTATCATGTTCTGCATGAATTTTTCGATATATGTAGTTCAAATGATGCAGGGGATAGGTTATATTTGTTTAGATTCGATTGTTTAGATTGGTAGGGGGTACTAGGAATAGGGGACTGGGGAATGGTGGAAGGGGGAGGGGGAGGGGAAAGGGAGGGGGAAGGGGAATGAGAGCGGGAGTTATTCCGGGCTACGTCGATGGACGCGTTAATAATTTTGTCATTTTTGTTTTGGTTTGCGTTATCGTTGCGTTGATGTGTTGTTTTGGCTACTGATGAGTATGTAGCGGTGATAACCGGAGAGTGTGATGTTGTCTTGAATATTGTTTTCGCTTCACGCAAAGTGCAAATTAAGGGCCTCATGAAGCTTGCATCCGATCGTTAACCGCTGTTGGGAGATAAGAGACGACCGCTCGCAACGGAAGATAGTCGAAGACTGCCTTTCCATGCATTTTCCATGTCTCAAAACTAAATATTTTCAAACAAATACGTTTGCCCACCTCTTAAAACTAAATCTTCAAACAAAATAGTTTGACAACCCTTTAAAAATGGTTTTTATCGTTTGCCCACCCTTTAAAAACTGTTTCTTTCGGTTGCCCACCCTTAAAAAAAAATTTTTCGTTTGCCCTAAAACTAAATCTTTTCAAACAAAATAGTTTGTCCACCCTTTAAAAATAGTTTTTATCGTTTGCCCACCCTTTAAAATTGTTTATTTTTTTTTGTTTGCCCACCCTGAAAAAAAATATTTTCAATTAAAACTTACTTTCAGTAAGTTGTGGCGCCAATTCACACGCTTTAGGATTTTCTTACAGAACACATGCACACGTGTTACATACTTACCGCATTGACAATGCATACAATGTTGTGTATTCTGCTTATTCTTAACTAGTTCTTTATGC